AATATTTGCCTGAAACTCCAGGCTTGACAACTATAAATGTAGTGTCTACTTAGTAAAACCTCAAGGCTATTTCTTAACTCAGCACTTTAAACTTCACTTGAGCAATTTCTCTCAGTTCTATAAGATGAAAAACTGAACTCCCCAAGATTTGGCCCACAGTAGAAAATCCTTAAGTTGCAAGCAGACAATTTCCTTACAGCTCCCGAAATGTAATGACACTTTGAATCAATAAAGATACATGAGAAGTGAGTCTCTAAAAATAGCGCTCCAATAACTCTAAACCAAGGTTCTTAAATCTCTCCTCAAGGACAGGATTTCTTCAGTGTCTGGTGTCTTTTGTCAAGGGCTTTTTAATAAGAGTGAAGGAGCTTGTATCAATGATACAGTTTTACCTCCCTACTAAAAATAGAAAGACCATCAGTCCAGGGGACATGCTTTCCTGTGGCACTCAAATAATGATTTTTTTTTAAATTAGAAGATTGGAATACCACTCCTATGAATGGCTTTGTCATTTGTAGAAGAAAAACATATGCCACTACTGAATCAAATGATGTGGATATTTTTAGTGCTTACCGTTTTTCTTTTCAGGAAGGAGGTTTCATTTCATAGGCTATCTTTATCCAAAAATCTGTTTCCTATTTCACTGCCTTCATATTTTAAAATGTATTATGTTATACCTTACAATATTAATAGTATTGAGTCTGTCTTTTAAAATCTTATTAGAATAAAATCTAGCTTCAGATGTGTATGTTCAGCAGTAACAGCAAACACTATTTTCATATTTCATAACAAGCATAGCTTTATTTTTTGAACACACAGAATCCTTTCCAGTTTTGTTTGGCTTGTTTTTTAAAAAAAATATACTGCCTATTAAGGATTGCTTAGACCTTTAAACATAAAACCTCTCTTTTATTTCTTACGAATAAATTACTAAACCAGGACAAGAATGATTTAAGAAATTTTCTTTATCTACAATAGAAAGTAATGAATAAAATGTTTGGAATTTGATTCCAGATTTATCCTCCTCACCATAAAGCAGTGTGATCTGTGATAGGCTTCCCCAAGTCACTGTCCATCCATTTATAGATCTGGAAACTGGAGATAATAATGCTAGCCTCATGGGGTGTTTTTTGAAGGATTTAGTACAATAACACATCTTGTTCAACTGTCCAACCTGGTGATAATAAAAGATTAATCTTTGTCAAATTCAGCTAGAGATAGACAAATACACAGAAATGAAACCATCATTCTTATCTTATTATTTTTTATTTAACTTAGTAATGATAAAAAAATGAAGGTATTTTGAAACAGAATTCAAACATTGGAATGTTAAAAGACACTGAGGTTAATTTTCATGTTGATTAATAATTATTTTTTTTTAATAATTTTTTTTATTAAGAAAAGAAGAAAAAAAAACATAAACAAAAAACAAGTTTCCACCTCCTCCCAGCCTCCCATTTCCCTCCCCCTCCTCCCACCCTTCTCCCCCTCCTCCCACCCTTCTACCCCTCCCCCCACTCCTCTCCCCCTCCCTCTCCAGTCCACAGAGCAGTCCAGGTTCCCTGCCCTGTGGTAAGTCCTAGGTCCTCCCCCCTCCGTCCATATCTAGGAAGGTGAACATCCAAACTGGCTAGGCTTCCACAAAGCCAGCACATTAAGTAGGATCAAAACCCAGTGTTTCGGTTTCTCAGGAAATTCGGGATCAAATTACCCCTGGACCCAGCAATACCACTCCTGGGAATATACCCAAGAGATGCTCTATCATATGACAAAAGCATTTGTTCAACTATGTTCATAGCAGTATTATTTGTAATAGCCAGAACCTGGAAACAACCTAGATGCCCTTCAATGGAAGAATGGATGAAGAAAGTATGGAATATAATAATTATTTTTTAATAAAATATTATTTGTCATTTTTTTTTTTTTTTTTGGTTTTTCGAGACAGGGTTTCTCTGTGGTTTTGGAGCCTGTCCTGGAACTAGGTCTTGTAGACCAGGCTAGCCTCGAACTCATAGGGATCCGCCTGCCTCTGCCTCCTAGTGCTGGGATTGAAGGGGTGTGCCAGCACACCTGGATCAATTCTTGATTGCTCCTGATACCATGTAACTTTCCTTATCTGCATATACTCAAATGAACATGGACCCATGGTGTATTTGCTATTAATCTGTTTAGATAGTGGGACAGAATGCCCAACTATACATTTAATTTACAAAATAGAATCGTTAAAAAACATAGGCAAATACCACCAAAGCTTTACAGTTGTAGTTCCAGCTCTTAAAACCTATGAATGCCAACAGGGAGCATGAGTCCCCTTTACAACTGAAGAACTGTGAAAAGACTTCCCGTTATTGGAGCTTGAAATGTGAATGCTGAGGATAAATTACCGAGGGCTTTTAAGCTGTGAGCTTGTTTGTCAGCATGTCTGCTCAGAAATAATGACAATGAAACTTCTTATTAATTATGAAAGCCTGGCATTAGCTTAGGTTTTTTTCCCAACTATGTCTTATAGCTTAATTAAACTATTTCTATTAATCTGCATTCCATCACAGAGCTTGGTAACGTTGCCTCTGTCTTGTATGCTGTTCTTGTTCCACATCACATTGGCATCTCTTACACAGTTAATTTCATCCCCTCTTACTTCCTTTCTCATTTCAGAAATCCAACTAAGCCAATGGGCTTAGCTATTGGCCATTGAGGGCTTTATTACACCAATCACAGCAGAGGATCTTCACAAGCAGTACAACTATCCAAGAACACATATAGATTGCAGAGGTTGTAGAAGAGAGACAAGCCTGTTTATGCAAGGACAATTTTATTTCATTTATTGCATTTCAAACACACCCCACAGTTATTATTGGGAATTACAAGAAGAACAAAGATGATAATGGGGTTGCCTTCACCTTTCCAGCAAAGTCTCCTCCAGGATGGACTCCACACAACACAACTCTGATACCTAATTTTGGGGGGCAAATTCACATAGCGCTTAAAGAAACTGAAATTTATAGCTAATACAAGAATTCCTTAAACGGTAAGTACATTTATGTTTATATTTGATTTTTGATAATTGAAGGGTAAAATCTGCTACTGTTTGATTTATACAACTTATTGGAATGAAAAGAAATTACAAAGGAAGACAAAAAATATGTAAAAAAGAAAAACACAGCAAGAACATAGTGGCACATGCCTTTAATCCCAATACTCTGGAGTCAGAGGCATATGGATTTTTGAGTTTTAGTCCTGCCCTGTCTACAGAGTAAATTCAGAAACTGCTAGACAAAACAAAGAAATCCTGTCTCAAAAACAACAACAACAACCAAAAACAAAACAAAACAAGAAAATGCAAATAAAAATATGGGTATTCGCATTATTTCATTTAAACTATGTCTAGATTGCATATATACAGTATATTAGACTATGATGTAAAATAATTATACTAAATTATGATCTCCTCAAATGCTTAAGGTACTTTTTTATTACAAAAAACAATAGAATATCTTATTGAGTCCAATGAGAGGATTCTTTATTTATGTTTTCTCATAAGCCTAATTACTAAACTTATGATGGTATTCAAACTTGCAGCTTCTGATACTTTGTTTTTTACCATGTATTTTTTTTTTTGAAACTGCCCTTTTTCTGTGTTCCCTTGAAGTTATTTCTTTGGGGATGTTATGTCACCAAATTCAGGACAATTACTGACACAGTGTGCTCACAGTTAGAAACATTTTACTATTCTGAGAATCCTTTTGCCATATGACCATTTTTATTCATCACATTGAGGTGCACATAACAAAATATATAACCCAGATTTAATTAGTTATCCTCTGTGTATATAAAAGAGAAGCCTATATTTTTTCAGCTGAAGCTAATACAGAAGACAGCAGTAAAAATATGAATGGGGCATACTTTAATTTTTGATCTTTTTTTAAGGAAAATGATATAGATTCTAATAGCTCAAATCTTTCAGGTGAGGCAATATACTGGGCATACAGGTGTTAGGAGACATAATTCCTTGAGATTTCAGGATAAAATGTATTTATTTTATAGATTCTGTCCCTTTAAACTTCCAGTCTTTAACACTACAAAATAGATGTTTACAAACTCACTTGATTCCAACGATGATATGAAAACCCACTTTTAACTGAGTTTGTGAGTTGAACACCACAAGGCTTTCAATTATTAATATTGTTAACTAACATTATTGTGGAGAAATCACAGCTAATTCTGTTTGGGTCCTGTTGATTCTAGCTGCACCTCATAAAATCCTCTATTGATTACATCAATGAGTATATAGTTGTTTAGAGCACATACTATTTTCAATTTTCCATTGTCTTGACTGTGTGGAATACAATGATAATCATATTTTTTAGAGACTTTGAAATTTATATCACTATAATTATATAGCAGAAATATGATTATCATTGTGATAAGCATGTCTAAATTCTCAGTACTTGATATGCCAATGCTGGGAAATCCAGAGTTCAGGGCATCTCAGGCAAAGCAGCATGATGGTGTCTCAAAAAAAAAAAAAAAGCAAACATAAAACCAAATAATTCAACTTTTAAAGTGAAAAGAAGGAAAGGGAATAGAGTTGGTGGGTACGAAGGGCATTGGATAGAATCTCTGAGAACTTGGAATGGGGAAACTATTATTAATATGTAGTGTACAGAAATTGTTATCTCAATATAAGAACAATTTGTTTCTAATGGCAAGCATTCACCATAAGATCTATATGTAATAAATTTAAGTGAACATTGCTAGTTTCTATTAAAATTTTAAGGTTCAGTTTTCTTGGTATCATAATAAGCAATACAAAGAAAGTAACTCAATATTTTCTCAAGAAAACAGAAACTGTGTTATATCAGTTTTTGAAACCAATAACCTAAGAGTCATGCTTTTGATTTGTTAACAAATTTGTTCTTTTTAATCAAACTTAGTGATCATTTCACTTTAAACCAGCAATCCTTCTTTTAAGTACTTTAATTGTTGCTACTTTGGCACAGGTGTTCAATATCTTTTGCTTGGGAAACTAATTCAAAGTGGTTTTCAGTCATTTTACTATCAACTTCACTTAGTATATTTTGCCGAGCGCGGGCAGCTGGAGATGGTGGAGTCCGTCATGCTGGCGGTGGGGTGCATATTCTGCCCAAGTACAGGGAATTTCCTCAGCTTACCCGGAAACAGGTGATCTATGGTGAGTTCTTAAGCTCACTCATGTGGTTCTGGATTCTCTGGCGCTTTTGGCATGACTCGGACGCTGTGCTGGGCCACTTTTCATATCCAGATCCTTCACAATGGACAGATGAAGAACTGGGGGTCCCTCCTGATGACGAGGACTGAAGGAGCAAGGTGAGAAGTTTCAAGAAATTACAGCCTTCATATTTAAAGTTGTAAATTAAAGTGGTTTGCCAAGAATGAAAAAAAGAAAAAGAAAAGATGTATCTTAATATTATTTTGAGGAAAAGATGAGAACCAGTTCGAAGTGAAACAGGAGTCTGGGTGAGGAATATCATCTAGGAAAAATACTTAGACATATACTGACACATAATTATGAAATTCCTATAGTAGAACTTACATATTGTATGCATTGTGCAATAGAATATAGAGTGCACAATCTTTACTTACAGTTTTCTACAGTGAAAGCCATTATAGTTTCCTTGAACATCTAGTAGTTTCCTTGTTCTGATCCTGTTTATCCATTTCTTTTATTCTGCACCTTGCTCACTCTAACCAGTAACAATAATCTCAGTTTTTCTTGAAATAAAATGCCCTCGGAAGCCTCTGTTTCAGATCTTGAATTTGCTTTGTTTGCTTCCCAAAAGTTGTTTTTGAGGCAACCTGGTGAATATCTTCACCAATACAATTACTACAATGGTCCCTCATCAGAAATGACACCCTCGGACACTGCCTTCCACAATTTCTCTACTACATTTTGACTTTAGTACTTATCAGTGTTAAAAGAAAAATATGAGAATATTTTTATAATAATAAAATGAAAGCCAGAAAACACTTAAATCCAGAGAATTACCAACTTCATATTTGAAGAGACTGCCAAAATATGTTTTATAAACCCAAATTACGTAAAGTGTGTGTTTTTAACTTTGCAAATCCTATGAAATCGCAAATGCATTGGGCAAATATTACTGCTGCTAATAATACTAAAAGAACCATACATAAAAATGTAGAAAACTATTAAAGACGGGGATAATATTAATTTTCTCTGAAAACAAGTCAATGCCTCCACATTAGGGTCTTGTTTTCGTTTTTCCTGTCAGCCTGGGTATGTATAACCTTGACTGAAACTATTATTCAATGGTGAAGTCCTTGAAATGTAATTGCAAAGGCAGGAACCCACAGGGAAATGGGGATCAAAAGCTCTCCTCACTCCAGATGCTACAAAGCCTTTCCTTCCAGATGCTGCCGATTTTGCTCCCCAGGTACTTTTAAATTAGGAATCTGTCTTAGCTGGTTCAGGAAGACAAGAGGTCAAGCTAAATAAGATGATTCACCTAAACCTATTTAAAAAGAAAATGACCTAGGAGTTTTGTTGCTAGTGTAAAGGATTATTTAGTGAATCAGATTGCTGAGTTTCTAAATATCTCAGCAGTTTGATGAAACTTGTTATCCTGACTAGATCAGGGCAGACACTGAAAATATAGAAACCTTTATCAGACTGTCTGAAATCTCAGTGCTTTGGAGAAATACTGAAGAATGCTTTCTGTGGAAGAAGGAGAAGTACCCTATGGCTAGAATGTCACCCACATTTTTTTTATTTCACTTCGTTGCATATAAAAGGTAACATAATTAGTCTTGCTCAGAGAGTAAGTGTTTATGAGAAATTTTGGAAGGTTTCTATATTTTTGTAAGTATTTTTTTTAAAAGAGTGACACAGTATTTTTAATTATCGATGCCATAAAAAAGATTTATCAGTAAACTCTTGTTCATAACATGGGACTTAAAAGGTAGAACACATATGAAAACTATGTACATTATAGCATTACTTCCTTACTCAGAAATGCATAATTATTGACAAATAATTATGTTTTGTGACTGTATTCCATATACCCTTGAGTACTCCGTGTTATTAAGACAAAACAGTAATATTAGATGAAACATTGGCAGCCCACATGATGAAAGAAGAGAGAAAGAGACAGAACCAGGAAAGAGATTGAGACAAATGTCTGTTAAAATCATGGTAGTTACTGAAGTCTAAGTGCAGAATACTATTCAGAGAATAATAATAAAATTTCCAGGAGAGTTCTAAATATGCACAGCCAAAACAAACTATGGATATTGGAACAGTTTGTAATGCTTTGTGCCTCTGTATTCTTATTATTAATCAATGAGAGCCAATGTGAGGTAATTAAATGATACAGAACTGAATCAATGCATTCACTGGAGTGCTATAAGCAAGAAAATAATGTTGAATATAACTTGGATTGTCATTATCCTATGAATTAATACGACTAAATATTTACAAACGGACTTATTGGAAAAACTAAATTAAATATAGCAATTTTGGAAAGACTAAATAAAGCATTCTAAAAGCAGTAAATCTACTCTTTATTCCATCTACACAGAAGGATGTCTTGTTGTTGTAAATGATGAAAACTTCCAGTTTTACTAATGCTGGAAGATATACAATGCCTATAGCTTCAGAAAACTATATGTACATGAATGAAGCGATGTACTCATTAATCTGGATTTTTACAAATATTTCAAGTACAGAAGATTTCTCTAAAGAATAAAGACATTCAAAACTTATAAAAATACAAATACAGAAATTTTCTTTGGAAATAAAGACTTCTTTCTTTATCTTTAAATTTTAAAGTAAGATACTTTGAGAAGGAGATAATATTTGATATAAATTTAATGCATACTTTTTCCATCGGGGGTAAATATTTAATAAGTTTAAGCCATTTGTAGTTTCTTTTTTTTTGCATTCATCCCATTTCATTTTTTTATTTATTAATGATTTCTGTCTCTTCCCCGCCACCGCCTCCCATTTCCCTCCCCCTCCCCCAATCAAGTTCCTCTCCCTCATCAGCCCAAAGAGCAATCAGGGTTCCCTGCCCTGTGGGAAGTCCAAGGACCACCCACCTCCATCCAGGTCTAGTAAGTTGAGCATCCAAACTGCCTAGGCTCGCACAAAGCCAGTGCCTGCAGTAGGATCAGAAAACCATTGCCATTGTTCTTGAGTTCTCAGTAGTCCTCATTGTCCGCTATGTTCAGAGAGTCCGGTTTTATCCCAGGCTTTTCCAGACCCAGGCCAGCTGGTCTTGGTGAGTTCCCAGTAGAACATCCCCATTGTCTCAGTGTGTGGGTGCACCCCTCGCGGTCCTGAGTTCCTTGCTCGTGCTCTCTCTCCTTCTGCTCCTGATTTGGACCTTGAGATTTCAGTCCTCTGCTCCAATGTGGGTCTCTGTCTCTGTCTCCTTTCCTCGCTTGCTGAAGGTTAATATTCAGGAGGATGCCTATATGTTTTTCTTTGGGTTCTCCTTATTTAGCTTCTCTAGGATCACTAATTATAGGCTCAATGTCCTTTGTTTATAGCTAGAAACCAAATATGTGTGGCGGTTTCTCAGGAAATTCGGGATCAACCTACCCCTGGACCCAGCAATACCACTCTTGGGAATATACCCAAGAGAGGCCTTATCATACAACAAAAGTACATGCTCTACTATGTTCATAGCAGCATTGTTTGTAATAGCCAGAACCTGGAAACAACCTAGATACCCTTCAATGGAAGAATGGATGAAGAAAGTATGGAATATATATATATATATATATATATATATATATATATATATATATTAGAGTACTACTCAGCAGTAAAAAACAAGGACTTCTTGAATTTTGCATGCAAATGGATGGAAATAGAAAACACTATCCTGAGTGAGGTAAGCCAGACCCAAAAAAAGGAACAAGGGATATACTCACTCATATTTGGTTTCTAGCCATTTGTAATTTCTTACATTCTTCTGTAATAGTGGAGATTAGACCTCAGGCCTGGCACTTATTAGAAAACTACATTGCAGAATATTTGCCACAATGTATCATTTGTTTATTTTTAAAGATATATTTAATTTTAATTCTGTATATGTTTTCTGTCTGCAAGTCCATGTGGTGTACACACATGTTCTCTACTACTTTTTCTTACAATAAAGCATTTCAGTTAGTGCGGAGATTTTTTAAGGCTAAGAGTTTTCCTGACCTGATGGAGCAAGGTCATTGGTTAATTAAAGAAACTGCTTGCCCTGATAAGTTAGATCATAGGTGGGTGGAGTAAACAGAACAGAATGCTGGGGGGAAGAGGAAGTGAGCTCAGAGATGCCATGCTCCCCTCTCCCGGGCAGACGCAATAGCTCTGCTCTCTGAGGCACATGCGATGAAGCTTCGACCCAGGATCGACATAGGCTAGAATCTTCCCATAAGCGCACCTTGGGATGCTACACACCTTATTAGAAATGGGCTAGTCCAGGTGCGAGAGTTAGCAGAGAAGAGGCTAGATATAATGGGCCAAGCAGTGTTTAAAAGAATACAATTTGTGTGTTGTTATTTCGGGGCATAAGCTAGCCAGGCGGCCTGGACACAGCCCCACCGCTCATATTACTACATTAGTAGAGTAAAATTTCGTGTCCTATAGAAAAACTTGTCAAAACATATAAAGTACCATCCTCTGCAGTATGGTGGCGGGTGTGAAGGAAAAATGCCCTACCCCTCAATACCCCTACTGCCTTGAACTATCCAGAGAGCTGACCATCTCCTTTACCAGCTGCAGCACTTGTGATAGTGAGTTCTGTGCCTCGTCTGTTCATCACAGTGGATCTGACCCAGTTTATGAAGACCCAGTGAGTGACCCCGAGAATATGAGCCTGAGAAATCTATTTATGCTCTTTATCTTCCACGTGACAGCATGGTCAGGGAAGGGATGTCATTGTACTCCCTGTCCTCCCCAGTGTTAGAGTTGGCATAGAGAGCTAGCTCTAAGTTCATAAGAGCTGAGAGCCGCTCCTGACCCACACCAGCTGCAACACTCAGGAATGAAGACCCTGTATCTTGCTTGCCTGGGTAGCAAAGAAGACCTGATCCTGTTGGAAGAAGTATCAGTGAGCCAGACCCAAATCTGAGAGGAAGGAAGAGCAGTCCTCGCTGAACCATGCAGTGGTCTAGGTGGGGGAGAGATGTCCCCCCCCCAAGGTGCTTACCTTCCCCCGTCCCCTTGTAGTGCTCAAGAAAGCAGGCTCTGCTTCCCAGCTGGGCAGAATACTAAAGCTGATCCTTTAGTTAGAGGCGCAGGTGATGTGGCTCTGAGTGTATGAGGGTGGGACTGGCCAAACTCTCATCTTCCATGTGGAGAGGGCAAGGGAAAGATGCCCTCCTCACTTGTCACTACCACCTGTGGAAGCAAGGATGCT